GAGACTCTGTCATCTGTAAATTGAATTCAATTAACCCAACTTAATTCACTTTAGAAGACAACAGAAAGTGAAAGCCTTCTTGTTTTTTAAGTAAAGCTTTAAACAATTGTTTTAAAAAAATTTCAAGAGTAATTAGCCCAGGTTAAAGTGACTTAGTAGGATTTGGCACTTTGTCACACTTACATTTATTCTGATACAGTGCTAATGATACCATCAGCCACCATCAATTCAGCTTTCAACTGACAGGTTTAATTACTAATTTGGTGGGTGTTGATGGGTTTGTTATTAATCAGATCACTCTAAATGATAAAACTGATTTTAAAACTACCTCAAATGCTTTTTAAGAGCCATAATTGTTATTTTTTCAAATTTTAATGTTATTAATATTTTTAAGACTGAGTCTCAGGCAGTTTACCAGTAAGACTGAACTCACCTTGCAGCCTGGCCCAAGCTGGCTTCAAATTTAAGATCTTCCTGCTACAGCCTCATCATTGCTGGGATTATAGGTGTGGGCTACCAGGCCTGGCCAGGATTGTAATTTTCAAGTGAAGACAAAACAAAACAACAACAGCACATTCTTTTGTATTCTTTCAGTAGACCTGACTTTTTAAAATTCCAGTTGGGAAAAAAAAAGTTTTTGGTTATCTGATACGTTTACTATACATGAATTATGTGTTTTAAGACTTACACAGGCTAGGAAAAACACTGCCTTTGAAGATACATAGTACAGTTGGTTTCAGCTTTTTTCCTCTGTCCATTTTATAGTTTTTAGGAGAGACTTGTTTTTCGTTTTCCTCGTTTCATTGAATTTTTTTTTTAATCTGTAAGATCTTGAACTGACAGGATGAATTAGCAGTATTGCTCCTAATTATAAATGAGAAACTTTCTAGACTGCCCCCTGCCATCAAATCAAAATTAAATACTTCATCTGCAAAACATTTCTACTACAGAACTTGTCACATTACTGACAAGTCTTCTCTCCTTTTAGACAGCAACCTTGTGTTATTCAACTTTATATCCCCAATCTCTGGCACATAATAAACTGTAAAAAAGTACAAAACTTGTTGAAATCAACAACTGAGTGCTAAAAAGAGTATTGAATCTGGTTGGGCTAAGTCCTTGGAAACAATTGGAGTGATAGTTAATACAGTAAAGGTTTGGAGAAAGGAAAGTTTTAAACAGACTTGACAGATTGAAAAAAAAACCAAATGAGAAAGCAGAACTTATTTACAGGTCAATAGGTCTAGTCACTTAATGAGAAATTCTGAGCTGTAAGTATGTGATAGATAGTGCAGAGCTAATTACAGAGAACTGAATACAAGCCCAAAGAGTTTGAATTTTCCTTTGTAATTGGGAAATTGGTTGGTGATAAGTAAAAATAGCATCTCTTCCTGTTGCAGAGGTTGGTCTTGAATTTAAACTCCTTATACATACTGTGCTGCAGTCTCCACATTTATTGTTTGACCTACAGAACATCTTGTCATCCCTGAAAGTTAGGTATATAAAGCTTATCGGTAAACAGCGGCACCTTCATTGGCACATCCAGTGATTGACTTCTTTGTGGACACCCAGGGAGCGCCTGCCTCCATCTCTGCTGTGGGTTCTTGTGTCAGGAGCGCCACTCTCTTGCATGTTCCGGGCCCAGCTTTCAGTTCTAGCTGAAGTTACACTTCTGCAAGGGCCAGAGGGAAGTAGTTTTCCAGGGATTGGATCTCACATCTCCTTTCTTGTAATTTTTCATTACATATATATTTCTTATTTTCCCTTCTGGACTGTAAACAATGCCTGATGTGATGTGCTGACATGTTAGAGTTACATGAATAGGACTTTTTCATTTTTGCAAAAAGAAATTTTTAAGAAAGTTTCTGTGTAAGGCTAAAATAGGTGAAAGTGTAGGTAGAAGAAAATAGTATGATAGAAGGATCTCAAAGACAAATTAGGAAGTAAGAGAATAAAAGTTAGGGAAGGGGTAAAAAGATGTGAAACATGGACATTTTCTTTGGGTTTCTTAGGATATTTTCTTTGGAAACCCAGACATTTTCTTTGGGTTTCCTCTGTGAATAGCCTCTTAGTTGCTGAGTCACCTATGTTATGACAAATGAAATCTGGAGGGCTCACCTGAATTTATCAGAGATTATTGACAGTGCAGTTGGAAAGACTGCTGTAATTTATTTTTTGACCCTAAAATTTAAATATGTCTGAGATTTCCTATTCTATAGTACTTGAAAACTATAGCTTTTAGCTTTTGAAGTTTTGTAGCAAAATACATCATTGTGAAGACATAAAGACATTAAACTAGAGGGAGGAAAAGGGGCTGAGGCAAGAAAGGTCTTGGAAATAATTTCTGCCTTTCTGAAAGTTTGGGGAGAATATTTGTATTCTGTTTACCAGACTGTTGAAGCTGACTCATTCTCAGATGAGTCTTGGCTTTTAAATGATGAGGGAGGTAGTATTTTTTATTACATTTGACAATTTGTGAGCATATTTTTAAAGCACAGCTTAAATTCTTTCTCCTATGGGTAAAAATTACCTGTCCAAAGCAAGTAAATATTTACCCTTTTGCTAGCTATGGCAATAGCATGGTCATTTTAATTTTTTTCACTATGTACCATAGGCTAAAGAAGTGTATATTTTATGTTATTAACTAGCTTTTAGGCAAAGCAAATACCATTTACTGGTGTGATAAAGCTCACGTAGAAAGCTTATTCTGCAGTTTTTTAACACGATAAACTACTACCATCTGAAGTTTACCTGGTAAATCATTTTCTGTAAATAATTGGTGTGTTATTACCCACTGATTTTTGACAGCTGGCTCAGTTTTTCTCTAAAAATTAGGTCATCAGTGTTACTGAACTCTGCTTACTGATATTAGATCAGAGTAAGACCTGGAAAACTTGTTTGATAAAAAAATGATAAACGGTAAGGTAGAGAAACCAGTATGCTATAATCATAGTTTGGACTCTGGATTTAGATTTATATCTGCCACTGTGGAACCTTTGGAAGTTTTCTAACCTGTCTGAGCTTCTGACTGCCCGTCTGTGAAATGGAGATACAATTACTCACCTTGTTAATTTTAATATGCCAGGGACTGTGCTATATTTTGTGTAATAAATAATATGTCTGTCATAAGCTCACAAATTAGAAAGGAAATAAAAAGGAAAGGCAAAAAGGTGTGAAACATGGATTCATCTAGTCACATATTTTAAGGTTGATTTTAAAAAAGCTAAAAGTTGATGTAACAGATTTGAAAACAAATATAAATATCCATGCCAATATTAACGTTTCTTTTAGGAGAAATTTTGTATGCGTGTGTGTGAACATACATGCTTTGTGAACCAACCATATATCCCACTACCTTTTAAGATAGAAGTGCGTGGCTCACTAATAGTAGTTTGAGAAGTAATTATGTTAGGAAATATTTACGTGTGATCTTACTAGAGTATGGGATTGTTACACAATTTTTAAGTAATCCAGAAAATGTTTAGGTATCTAGAAAATCTCTTTTCAACAGTATACAAACACTATTAACCAGACAGGTTTGTGACTTTTAAACAAAAGCAACGTATATAATTTTCCAGTGGTACTTGCTGTTATACCTATGAATAGCCTAGAATTGATATATTAATTTGAAAACTTAAGGAAACAGAAAATGTTCTCGCCTCTGATTCTTTCTTTCTTAAAATATGGTCTAATCCTTTTCTGAATATTTCATATGTTCCCACATGTATACACACACACACACACACACACACACACACAAATACGCATGTGTATGTTTCTCCTAGACATTTTAGTAAATCACAATAGATGGGGAGGAGATTGATCTAACTTCGATTTACTGCCCTTACATGATTACTGTAAGATTTTTAATAGTTACTGGTGTTCAGAATAATCAGATGTTTTCCATTTTTGAGCCAACAAAAGTCATTACTTAGGTTCGTTAGATTTATTTTTACTTTAAAACTTTTCAGTACATAAAAAAATTGCTCTCCTATTTAAAAGTTTAGTTAATGTTAGCAGTTTACTGTTATACTAGTTTAATTAAGGTTTTAGGGGTGGCATATGCATGTAATCCCAGCACTTGGGAAGCTGAAGCAGGAGGAGCGTCATGAATTCAAGGCCAGCTTGTGCTACTTAGTGAGTTCAACACCAGCCTGAACTACATGGTGAGACCTTGTTGCCAAAACAAAACCAGAAAAAGGAGATTTTAATGGTACAATTTTTGTTCTAGTGCTCTTATATGATTTGTGCAATTTGAAGTATGTAAAATCCTTACTGCTTTAGGAATAATAGCTGCAGCTGCCATCAGTTTTGAGTACCTACTCTCTGCCAGGGAGTGTCCTAAAGGTATTGAATGTAATGAGTCAGCTGATCCCTCAGTTGATATAGGCCCTGTTATCCCCTTTTCTCAGATGAGGAAAATGAATCACAAAAAACTTAAGGTTACAGCTAGTATTACAGCCAGGATTCAACAACTTGTGCATTTGATTTTAACTGCTGTCCAGTAGTTAATTACTGTCGCTCCCAGATTTTATAAGCAGGTACACTATTTGAATAATAATATAAATGTAGTCATCATGTTACAAAAACATACTGTATAAACCCAGTCGACCAAAGTTGGCTTTTACCTAGGCACTTACTACACTTTGTAGTTAGACTACACTTTGTAGTTAGTGTTAGATAATTGTTTGTATGGGAAGATGCACTGTAGCTCTTCAACAGATGCTTAGCATTAACATACTGGAGTTTGTAATCAAAATTTGAAAACCTGGGATTGAAAAATAGTCTGTGTATTAATGAAGCATTTTTTACTTGTTTTTCAGTATGGTTTCCAGTGGTGCCGATGGGCTTTTAGTAAATCAGTGATGACTATGGCTATGGTCATGACTGTATCTGCTCAGCTAGTGGTCTGGTTCATAGATGATTTAATGATGGGTTTACTTAGCATCCATTGGACTGTACCTACAAGGATTAATTTTGTATTTTTTCCTCCTCTCTAGTAAAATAAAACAGGGTCTGTTACCTAGCTTGGAAGATTTGCTGTTTTATACAATTGCAGAAGGACAAGAAAAAATACCTGTTCATAAATTTATTACAGTAAGTTTTGTATTTTCCTATCTTAACTGTTTCAGAAATTAGTTATACTAAATAGTATTGTCGAAGCATAGTCTTAAAAGTCATGTGACATGTAGATTCTGGTTGACACTATGATTTCAAATTTTTATGGTGCTAATTTGAAGGTAAACAGTGAAAGAAAAAGAAGTAATGTACAACTTATCCAGAAAGTGGGTGACAGTGACACAAATGTCTCATGTTCAAGTCTTGGGTAGAAGTTTTTATAGACAGGAATGAAAACTTGTAGTTGGAATAAGCTTATACATTATTTGTGTTATATATTTACAAACTCTTATTTTTTAAAAAACAGGCACTCAAATCTACAGGATTGCGAACGTCTGACCCCAGGTTGAAAGAGTGTATGGATATGTTAAGATTAACTCTTCAATCAACGTCAGATGGTGTCATGCTAGACAAAGATCTTTTTAAAAAGTAAAAAATTTCTGCCAAACCTTTAATGGTGATTTGCTCTGCTGTGTGGTGGTTTGCTTTTAAAACAAAATTGCATCTTTAAAGGCCAGTGCTTCCTATGTATATGAAAAAAAATTTAAAAATATCATTTGAACAACAATGATGATATACACTGATGCTATACACTGAGTTAAGCGTGCTTTAAATCTGTTACAAGGAAATTTAGCTCTGGATGTTTTAAATTTCTCTTACCTGGAGATTGCATTCGGTTTGAATAGAGCACATCTTTGTTCTGTCCTTGCTTTTATTGATCTCCAATCATCTGCATGTCTTTCAGGCTTTCTCAGCAGTGTCTCCTTTCTCTCAAGGTGATTCGGATGACATCAGTGAGAGGCTGCAGACAACCCTGTATTCCTTACATGTGCATTTGTGCGTTGTCTGCTACTCTGCATTCCACAGACCTATTAATGCATAGGCTCTGGGCTGTTTTCATTTCTCTTAAAGCAGTTTCGAACTGAAGAGAACCTGGGAGATTAAAAAGCCTTCATTTGTTTGAACAAGGAATATTTTTACTTTCTTATATTTACATATCTGTTTATCATTTATCTTTATTACTGTGCTCCTGTTAGCTTGACTCCTTAAATATGTGGATGACAGCTTTGTAGCGGATCTTAAAGAATCAAGTAGGGAAAAAAAAAAAAAAAAAAGAATCAAGTAGATGTTTTTTATGGTAGTGGGGAGTGAATCCAGGGCTGTATCCTCAACCCTCTTTTAGTTTAGAGATAAGAATCTTGCTAATTTGCTCAGGCTAGGCTCAAATTAGTGATCCTGCTGCCTCAGCTTCCCAGAGTGCTGGAATTAACACATCTGGCTTAAATAGTATTTTAAACTATTAATAGTTAAGTGGAAACTAGCATAAAACTGTAAATACTATTAAAAGAGATTGACTTTTTCTAAACAGTAGGCTCAGGTTGAGAAAGATACTTCTACATCTCCTTGGAAAATTTGTTCATATGTATGTGATTAGCCTAGACAGCATTTTCTTTTGGAGGTTGATTTGTTCTAGTTACCCCTTCTGAGACTGTCTTGGGAGTATTAGGTCATCTGAAGGGATAAGTGTTTTTTTTTGTTTTTTTTTTTTTTCTTTGTCTTTTTTTGGTCTTTTTTGAGACAAAGTCTCACTATGCAGTTCAGGCTGGCCTTGAACTCACTTATGTGGCCCAGGCTGGCCTCAAACTCACAATGATTCTCCTACCTCAGCCTCCCAAGTGCTGGGATTACAGGCATGCAGCTTGAAGGGATAAGTATTTAACGGAGTTTTCTGAAATGTCCTGGCATGCTCTGAAGCACTGCTGGCAGTTTTTTATTTTTATCTTTTCACCAGGAGGTTCTTGGTTCTGTTAACTCAGCTGACTTTAATGTGTAGATATTAGGTTCACGTTGCAATTGGTATGAAGAATTTTGAATCTATAGAACGTATTTCTTTGTGGAAGGAAGGAATTTGTTTGTAGGCTGATTTGTGCCTTTTTACAAGGATTATTTAACTTTTATTGTTCATGAGCTGTCTGCAAAATATCTGCTCATGGTGCTTCTGGGAAGTCACTGTGGCTCCCTGAACACAGTTATCAGTTGGTAGGTAGCTCCGTGGCTAGTAGATGTGGGGAACTACTTTGGAGCTCTAGGTGGAAGCAGTATTACATGTGTTATACTGATCAGAATGTTTTTCGTGCTTTATAAACCAAAATGTGAAATGGTTCTGTTTAAATATGAAATTTAAAGCACTTTACTCTGATTTTTAAGCCAGGGAATCACAATCATAAAATTTTCTATCTGTAAATATGAGATAGTTACTATAATATTAAACACTAGTCTAATTGTTAAAAATCTGTGATTGTAATATAGGAAGTTTGCCAACTTGACAAATACGCATAGTGGCCTATATGACTAGACTATAGACAGTAAGATTTTGCTATTCACCCCTAGAATGAACTTAGAATCTCATTTTTTTATCTGTGAAGGGGGGGCTGAAAACCTTTGACTATAAAAGTCTTATGGAAAGAGGATTACTGCAGAGAAATTCCTTCTCTGTTTTTAAATATAAGAAATTGTCTAGTTAGCATTGCCAAGAATAAACTCATCTCCATGCTTCTCCAGGAGGTGATAAAACCTGGAATTCATTTTCCCCAGGGAATAATTCATGAAGGTGTGTAGGTTTGGTTGAAGTCAGTGTGTTGGTATTTTACATAAAATACATTCTTAATGTATTTATGTTTATAGGTAACCTGACAAACAGCTATTGTGTATGATTTTTTTCCCCCCAGTGGGAAAATGAGTTCTGACATACATTTTGGAGAATAATCTATTTGAAAGTTGGAGACTGCCTGTACTCGTTAGTCAGTTATTTTTAGTGCTAATAATTCTTAAAACTAACAAAAGTAGAAATACTTGTGTTAAAAATTAATCCTTTATTTATTCATGCATACTTTAACCTTATAGGTATTGGAAATACGTTTATGTTTGATCATAGTTGTTTGCTCTTTTTTGGTCTTAGAGAAAGTGAATGGTTTTTTATATTTATATACTGGTTTTCTTAAAAAATTCTTCCATATTTTACCAACAAAAATTATGTGTGTAAAATATTTTATAAAACATTGATGAATGTTACAGTTGTTAGACTTAAGCATTTAAGTAAAGAAGGAAAGAAAATGAGTATTCCCAGCTTACAGATAAGAAAAACTGAACAAAGCACAGAGAAAGATGTTACTTGCTGAAAGCCGTAAACACTTCCTCTTTGTTCATATTATGTGACTTTTAAAAGTTAGACTGATGATATTTATGTTAAAATAATTTTCAGGAATAACTTTAATATTTGGAATGTGCACCTGTGTGCTGTTAGACACTCTTTTAAATGATAAAAATGACCATCAGGCAATTTACCAGTAAAGGCTGTTGCCACAACTTCACCAGGAGGTTCTGCTAGAGAAAAGCAAAACAAAAACTCCAGAGTTTTTCTTCTCTTCTTTTTTTTTTTTTAATCAGTAAATGCCATATTTATTTATTGACATATCCACAAATCTATATATGTTGGACCAAACTAGCTCTCTTGGAGGAAGCCCTACTATAGTGTCCAGAGTTTTTTCTGACTGTACAATTACAAGTCCTGATTAGCTTAAAATAATAGGCTAACAGTTTAAATTTGCTTAGCACAAGTTTATTTTGGGTAATTACCCTTTTTTATTTCACCATGGATTTGGAAAATATTTAGTGTTACTTCATTCCTCTGTTTATGATTAGGGCAGTATTTAACTTCTTAGAATCTCTCATTTTCTTATCTGTAAAGTGGGGAAATTCTTCACAAAATATTGATACTGAGAATCGAGATCACTAGTACTTGTAAGTTGTTACTTTTTTAAATGCCTATTTTTTTCCTCCTTCCTCGAAGAAGCTGCTAATATGTTTTGACATCATTTACCTGTTAAGAATCCAGTTACACAAATAACTTCTCATAGTATTTGACTTTAATATTTCAACTTTCAACATTTAATTTTTTTAATTTCTTAAAGGTTTACCCTTAAGATTTATTATAGTTGGCATTGCGGCTTGATGTCCGTGCATCTCCTGCCTTTATCGATTAAATAGACATTCTATTACTGAGTAGTGTAAAATTTCCCATAATCTACTATACAACTCTTCTTTAAAGTTGCATTAACATATGACTTGCCTATTCTGACTTTTTTAGCATAAAGCAGAATATTGGTTCAGATCACTAGATTTTATGCCCTTTTATCTACATGGTTTGCCATGTCTTTAAAATGGTTTTTAACAGTAAAACAATTTTACTGTTTAATACATGTATCAAGTTGAATACAATGTATTATTTTTAGTGATTCAAGATACTGTAATATAAAACTATCCTACTGTGTATGAAATTTTATTTATGTACATTGTTTTTACAAGTATTTCCATAAATATTTCATGTAAGAGAATTCATTCATTATTGGGACTAAAGCACATTGGTGGTTCCTCAAGTTTTAAACTTAGAAGTACAAATTTTTGATATATAGTTCAGGAAAAATATGTTAAAATGCATCATGTTTAATTTAAAAAAAAATACTAGCATTGTTACACGGGGGCTAAGAGGTGAATGTCTGATGTACTTAATTTGGGAAACACACAGATCCCATCTAAGATACTTTAAAGACTGATTTGTGTTAAGCACATGTCATCCAGAGTGTTTATTAGTTTTGGTAGGACAAGGAACTTGTTTCAGATGGTCTTAATACTTAGACCTGGTGGAATGTTCTTTTTAATCTTTGATACCTTTTGGGTATATCTTAATTTATTTCTAACTTATTCAGCTTACAAGCAAATACATGAAAGACTGATGGAAGGAAAGAAAATTATGTAGAAAGTATAACTTACAGAATTTAATTACATATAATGATGAATTTGTTTCTTGTTTAAATGTGGGGTTAATATTCTAACTAGAGTGCTGTTATTACCAGGTACCAATAGTGGAATGGTACCTATTAATTGTTTTCTCACATCCGCAGATGTGTTCAAAGCAACATTGTCTTGCTGACACAAGCCTTTAGGAGAAAGTTTGTCATTCCTGACTTCATGTCCTTTACCTCACACATCGATGAGTTGTATGAAAGTGCTAAGAAGCAGTCTGGAGGAAAGGTAATGTTTATTTTTTCCCAGCCCAATCACTTAACCTCTTACTAGTCCAGTCATTCAAATACAGGAAGAACAAAACTTGCATATTGTTTTTCATTGCTTTTTATAAGATACACATTTATTCAGTGTGAGAATCAGCTGGTTGAAATGTCCCCTGCCTGAGTGGCATTCACATAAATATGTTGCCCGAGTGATGGTCGGGGTAAAATGCGAGGTGGTTCATAAATTCAGCTCACTTTGAGGTATAGTAAATAAAATTGTGTAGTTTTCTTTAATTTAGGTAAGAAATTTAAATGAAGCAACTGGATTTAATGGTTTTAAAGTATTTTAAATATTTGACTTTGATATTCTGACTAAAAAGAAACCTAAATTTGAGTTCTTTTGTTAATTTTCAAATGATTGTGATGACTTTTAACTTTTTATTGAATAAAAATATCTTATTGGGAATTTCTGCAGATGTGATGTTTTTGAACATAAAATGAACTGTTTATAATTTTAAAAAAGCCCTGGGATAGGGGTGTAGTTCAGTAGCAGAGCTCTTGCCTATCATGAACAGGGCCTGGGATCCGACCCCCAGGGCACTTCCCCAAATCTAAATAATGGTAGAGTTGTGCTATTTAAGCTTCACAGGGAACACTTTTATTTTATCTCCATTTGGAAAGCCTTGGTTTTCTTTTTCTTTTTTTTTCTTTGTCTTTTTGAGACAGGGTCTCACTATGCAGTTCAGGCTGGATTTGAGCTCACTTTGTAGCCCAGGCTGGCCTCGAACTTGGAAACAATCCTCCTGCCTCAGCCTCCTGAGTGTTGGGATTATAGGCATGTGCTGGTTTGTGTTAGCTTCAAATAGCTTTCATGTAATACAATCTTTTAATAATTTTACTGTAAGCACATGAGTTATTTTCAGATACTTGACTCCTAATTTTTTAGATGGTGCAGCTACAAGTACCCATGGCCTTGATTAAGGAAGTTCTGTATTTTTTTCCTTTGGAAAAATCAAGTCAGGTTCTTTCTTAGATTTTCTGCTTTTTTAGGAAGAAAAAATACATTGGGAAACAGAAATAATAAAGGCTCGAAGAACTCACTTACTCTCATCCTAATCTTGAAGTCTGTTGTGCCTTTAGTTTTCACAAATCATGATTCAAAGGGTAGACTACAAAGTTCTTAAGTGTTGTAATCATTGATAGAAGCTAAGTTGAAGTAAGACCTTTTTTGGTAGAAGAAAATAATGTTATTTGTCTAAATCATGATGTTAATTTCTTTCCAATATCTTGGGTAGGTTGCAGATTATATCCCTCAACTGGCCAAGTTCAGTCCTGACTTATGGGGTGTGTCTGTCTGTACAGTAGATGGACAGAGGTGAGTTTATTTCAAATCTCTGTCAGCCCACTTTAAGCCTTCAATTTTTCATCACAGTGAGTGTGAAGTAGAAAGGACTTCCATTTATAAGGAAATCACTCCTAACGTAACAGAATGTCAAGAAGATTAAATAAGTTGGATTTTAATATAATTTTAAAAATTGAGACAGCAATTCTGTGGGGGTTTTTTGAGGTATTTTGTGTTCTTTATTCATAATTGTAGTCTTATTTTGTTCAAGTCTGAGTGTTTATGTGTTTAAGAAGAGCAGTATTGTCGAAGCGTAACATTATTTTCTATAATGAACTGATTACCAGTAAGATTGGTCCCTGTTTCTCAGCTTCTCATTGGTTGTTTGCTCTGTCATCTTTATTCTTCTTGTTCCCGATACAATTAGCGTAAGAGTCCAGGCCCATAACATACCCGTCGATCATTTGCAAGTGAAAAGTAAAGTCACTGAAGCTCCTATTTGGGAAATGTGCATGTTGGAGGCACCCTGCTGATAAATAAGGAAGTCTGCAAAATTGTAATAAGTAGAGTGATAGAATGAGGACAGTGTAAAGAGCTCTTAAACTGACCTGGCGTAGCCGTGGTTTAACCCTTGAAGAAAAATTTTCATATTACTTGTCTAATATAGAACTGTTCTGTTACCTGAGCACTTCTAAGCTTTCATTTTTTTAAAAATAGTATCTCTCTTACACATTTATTCTTTAACATTGAAGTGAATTTTTGTGGGAATATCTTGGTAAATTGGAATTCACATATAAAAATAAAAACTCCAGTTATGCTCTTCCTTTTGCTTTGATGGATGTTAATTGTTTTGTAAATCTACTTTTAATAGGCATTCTATTGGAGATACCAAAGTTCCCTTTTGTCTTCAGTCCTGTGTGAAACCTTTGAAATACGCAATTGCTGTCAATGACCTTGGAACTGAATACGTGCATCGTTATGTGGGGAAAGAGCCAAGTGGATTAAGATTCAACAAATTGTTTTTAAATGAAGATGGTAAGAATTACCTAACGGTTGGCTGGGGAGAAGCACGTTTGTCTGTGTGTATCTGCTTTTCCAGCATTTCTTTATTTACTCAGTGGGGGGTTTTGTGAGACAGGGTCTCACTGTGCAGTCCGCACTGGCCTTGAACTCACGGTGATCCTTGTGCTTTAGCCTGCCGAGTGCTGGGAAACCGGCGTGCGCCACCCTACCCGGCTTTTTTAAAATCGTTACACGGGGTTTCTGCAAAATCCATTGTGATAGTTTAATTACTTTAAGAAATGATGATTTTAGGCAGCTTCCACCACTAGGGAGTGGGCGAGAGGGAGATGAGGGGGCAGGGAGTAAGAAGTTCGCTTTACCACCACCTGTCAGGAAATATCTTGTGGTAAATTTCAAGATGTCGGGAATTTACTGAAAACCGATGCAGGAGGGCAGGTGGAGAGTTGGGTGTGATGATCAGTATGTTGGTAATATTGCTGCTAAACGACTCTCTTTGGCAAAGATGAAGTGAACACTTACGTCTCTTCTAGTCCATTTTCTTTGCATTGTTACAGGCTCTTCCCCTCTTTTGGGCCTGTAAAAATGCATGCAAATGTGTTGAGTTAAATGTAGGGTGCTATGCGAGAAGGCAGAGATATGAGATGATGTGTCTTTATCCCATGGAACAAATGCTGGTAGCGTATTTATGTATTACATAGGTGTCCTCCACTACCCTTGGGGGAAGGTCTATCCAGACAGTGTATATAAATTAGATTGCACACAGTATTTATATACTTTTGGTGCTTTTAGTGTTCTCCCTTTTTCTCCTAAATAATATTTAATGTTTCAAGGACTATCTTGCATTATAGTTGGGCAGCTACCTACTTTGAGTACTTCCCAGGAATTCAAAAGGAAAGGGTGGGCAAAGCTAGTACTTAGCTCTGATAGAGATATTTTAAACCTAAACATAGCTCGTGCAAACTAGATTAAACTTTATCCCCTTGGATTGGTTTACTTTTTAATCTTTCAAGGATGTTTAAAGTTTCTGACTGTTCAATTAATGTAAAAAATTGAAGGAGTGGGAGGAGACAGGAAGGGTAAAGGATGAATAAAAGGAATTCGGATGTGTTATGTATGTGTACCGACTTCGCACAAGGCATGTAGATACTATGTACTGCAAATATGGATCAAAAATAAGGGAAAGGGATCAAGAGATGGGTGGAAGGGGAAGAGAGGAGAGGGGAAGAAAGGAATCAAAATGTGTACCAACTTTTTCTCTCTTAAAAAGAGAAAAAATACGTGTACCAACTTTCATACGTGTACCAACTTTCAACTTACATACGTGTACCAACTTTCCACGAGGAATGTCAGCATTATGTACTACACACATGGACTAATAAACTAAAATTTAAAACATTTTCAAAAAGGATAGAAGAAAATGAGAGCGAAGATTGCAGTAACGGTTGTGTGACATACACTTTTATCTTTTTTCTTATTGCTAGATAAAAAAGTGTGTCATTCATTGTTTTATTAGTTTATTAAACTGTGACTTTTTTTAGAGCTGTTACATTTTCTTACCTATTCTTCTTATGGTTTTATATCCTGATTTTGTGGAGATGTCCTTAAATTAGCAACTTTAGTAAGGGTACCATATGCAGATGCACTTTGTTAAGGTCCTTAACGTTGACGTATAAAAAGCATTAATACTATTATTCTAATAAGATAATACATTTTATAAGAAAAATTAGTACTTTGTTATGAAAGTACTGATTGCACCGATTCTAGTACATTGATTTTGAAGAAGGTATTTAAAGAATAGAAAATAACAAATGTAAGACTTGAATAGTATTTCACACAAAACAAAATGGAGTGTGGGGTAAATGAACTTAATATTATAGTAATAAAATGTCTGCCGTGTACATGTCTAGTTTTAGAAATTATGATGTACTGATGCTGTCATGTGTATAAGAAAAAAAATCATAGTAAAAACTCCAGAATTGAGCACTGTTTTATATGAAAAAAAAAAAAACAAAACTGAAATGTAAAGTTTAACGAGAGGTTTTTTTGTTTGTTTTGTTTTGTTTTTGGTTTGTTTGGTTTGGTTTTTGGGTTTTTTTCTCTTTTTAAGACAGGGTTTTGCTGTGTAGTTCAGGATGGTCTTAAACTTACTTTGTAGCACAGGCTGGCCCGGACGGTGATCTTCCTGCCGTGATCTTCCTACCTCAGTCTCCTGAGTGCTGGGATTACAGACATGTGCCACCATGCCCAGCCTAACAAGAGGTGTTGCCATAGTATTCTTAGCTTTTTCTAAGCTTAACTCAATATTATGCTTTCTGAAGCTACTGGAAAAATGAAGATCTCACTATACCACTCCTATCTAGGTTCTGAACCAACTGTGTGCTTTTGAGTCCTCGTGTAGACCAGCTCTAGCAAAAAACAATATGAGGATCATTTTCACATTTAAAATTTCAAGGGTAGATTTTTGATGAAACTATATACAGTGTAGATGCATCTGTCATTACCAAATTTTTAAAAACAAATTTATTAATATTACCTCACCTTGATAAAGTTGTGATGATAAAATTAACATGAATATAATGAATAGATACAGAAATCGTTGCAGTTACTCTCTTAGTAACAGCAGTTTGGTCCTACGATGGACTTAACTGGTGCTTTCTATTCTTATAAATGAGTAGACAGATTATTATGGAGATGTCAGTTTTGGAAATCACCATACGGTGACTAGATTAATCAATAAGTATAATCTTTGATGTCTGTTTTACCAAACTGGAAGCATAGAGAGCATTGGTCCTCAAGAATACCTTACTTAGCTAATACAAGACAGCAAGCAGTACCTCTAAAACACCACAGAGAAGACGGAGTTAAGCATTGCGTACTCTCCGATTATGTTGTCTTACCAGTACGTGGTTGACAGTTTAAGTGGAGGAGGAGGATTAATTCATACGCTGAAGACAGGACTGACTTGTTTAAAAATTATAAAGTTTCTAAACTTTAGAGTTGTAGAGCATATTGCAAACATGTTAATGTGGAGTAATTAAATGTGAACATGTAAATTCTTCCTTAGCAATTTTAAAGTTTATAATACAGTGCTTATACTACCCAGTAGGTGCCCTGACCTTGTTCACCTGAAATTTCATGTCCTTTTGACCAACATCTCCTCCGGCCCCTACAGCCCTGGTAACCTCCATTCTAGTCTACTTCTATGAGTGCAGCTTTTTGTATTCCTCATGTGAGGTCAAGTGATACTTTTCTTTATGTGCTGCCTTACTTCACATAGTATAACGTCCTCCTGGTTTGTCCAGATTATTATAAAATGACACTATTTCCTTTTTAAGGCTGAGTATTACTCCATTGTGTCTAATAACACACTTCTCTATTTATTCATCCATTGATAGGTTGATTTCCTCTCTTAGCTGTTGTGAATAATGGCTATAACGCATGTGGGAATACAGATATGAATTCAATACTATATAATAGTTTCATTTTCAGAAGTGGGATTGTTGACTCCAAAATGCAGTTTTAAAGCATCACCTTTAAATCACATTTGATCTTCCCTTAACTGGCAGACTATAGTTTATCCAGCCAGTTTTTTAGATCTCTTAATTTTCTTTTTAATTGGAAAGAAATTTTAGCAGCTTTAATGAGACATAATGCACATAATCATGTACCTTACCCACTTAAAGTGTACCATTCAGTGGCTTTTAGTATGTTTGGAGTTAAGTAGCCATCACCATATTCCATTTCAGAACACCTTCATCCCCCTTCACAAAGAAATTCCATGCTCATTAGCAGTTATTCCTCATTCCTCCCATCCCTGGAAACTATATACTTTCTGTCTCTGTAGATTTGGCTGTTTGGGGAAAATTGCATGTACCTGGAATAATACAGTATTTGGCCTTTTTGATTGCTTTATTTTTATAATACTGTTTGTCTCGATGATACCATCAGTTACCTACTTTTCAGCTGATGGGACTGCTGAGTTGTTTCCATTTTTAGGCTTTTATCAGTAATGGTGCTGTGAACATTTCTATGCAAGTTTTTGTGTGACTGTATGTTTTTATTTCTTTTGGTTATATTCCTAGAGGTGGAATTGCTGGGTTACGTGGTAACACTTTAACATTTTGAGGTACTGCACCTCTTTTCCAGAGCTCAGGGTTGGTCAGCTAGACGCTTGTCTCAGTATAGGATAGAGGTAGAATTTTTGATGAGTTTAAATTGTAAGTAAGTCTAAAAAAACTGTAGGTAAGTTTTAAAATTCTGTAAGAAGTATGTCCTTATTGTCAAGAAATATAAAAAGCATAGAGAATATATGCATATCATGGTCATTGTTTTGTTCTGTATGTTTGTACATAAGCACAAAAATAAAACATTGTTTAAAAAGTGAAAATGGGATCACATCAGATAGGGGTTTAATGTTATTTTAAGGTAGTATTATTTTAAATTTTATTTAAAGTTTTATTTTAATGTTATTTTTAAGATGGTAATATTACTTAATTACTTAAAACTGGAGCGTTGCATGCGTTTTAATTCAGTCATTTAGTGCTTGTGCCGTTTACAGATGGGGAGCACGGTGAAGTTCAGTTACTCAGGGTCACAGCTACCACAGAAAATGGCGAAGCTGGGAAATTTGGATGTGTTCTTACATTGACTCACTGACACTGTAATGCTGGTTTGACAAGCAGCTTACTTCAAAAAAAGGAATTTAAAAACTGTCATGATAGTGGCTTACTTTTTAAAAAGTTTATGTTTATGAGAGTATCTGTGCATCAAAAAACATGGTACCAAGTATTTGAAGTAATTCTATTCCTTTTATATTTTACAGATAAACCACACAACCCTATGGTAAATGCTGGGGCCATTGTTATAACTTCGTTAATAAAGGTAAAATGTTAGCATTCCCTTTTAACCTAGTAAAGTTTTTATAATGTCAAAGACAAAAATGACTCTTGGCTTATTTATGTAGGTCGATGAAAAGCTTTCTCTTGGTGTTAAAAAAACTAATTTTAGGGAATAGGCTTAGGATTTTCATGTATTACAAAACTAAATGTCATTAATTTCAAGGCCAAATTTTAAAAACAGATGACTCACTTTACTGTAAATCCCAAGAGTAAATCTCAATCTCTTTCTTGACAAAGATTTAAGAAGTCTACTGAACAATAGGTGAAGAGGCTTTTCTTCTTAAAGTTTAGATATTTTTTTCTTCTTTTTGGCTCTTGTTGAATGAGCAGATGTTAACAGAATTAAAAGCATTTTATTGTATATTGTTGGTTATTTATATATGTAGGAACAATTGTTCTAGTAGTTTATGTTTAAGGTAAAGTACATTTACTGTTGCCTGTTTGCAAGTCTTTTATACTTTCATGAGCTAGAATCACAACTTTAATTTGAACTTGTTTCATGCTTTACTTAAATCATGCCATAATTAAAATAAGTAAGGCTTATTCCAATTATTAAGTTATATTTCTCATATTTTGATGTTTACATTATATGTTGATTTTTTTTTTTTTTTTTTTAGTGTTTGGTTTACCTTAATAATTGGCAGCTCTAATGCTGTTTTAAGTGTTTGAAAATGGTTCTGCTGTGATAAATTTCAATATCTATCACACAGTTTCAGATTTTTCAATTTTTAATTTATGTTTTAAGTTCCTGATTATGTTGTTTATATTAAAATAAGTTCTGTTTGTGTCTAGAACATTTGTATACTTTCCTTCAGTGAACTTGCTCCTGTCTATTCCAAGGCAGACTGAGACCTAAGTCGTGGCATTGAAAGTGCATCGCTGAGGGTTTTCAGTGCTGGTTACACAAAGAGCATTCACAAAAAACGACCCTCTTGGCCCAACTCAGAAAAATTCATGCAGTTAGAATACTAGAAATCTTGCCTTAATTTTCACGAGTTTTATATCTTCATGAGCAAAAGCTTTTAAAATGAGGACTGCTATCTTACAAATATGTATGTATAGTTGTTATTTTGGGGCATATAAGCAACGGCCCACATTCTTACAAGTGTAATGCAGTAGATAAAGACAAAGTATTTTAAAACAACTAACTTTAACATGTAATGGAAATTTTCACTTTCTTCATTATAATGCCCAATTAGTCATGGCTGTTTTACAAAGGGGAAGCTATTCTGAGGTGAAAGAAACTTCTATAGAAAATGGTAATGCAATAATGTGCAAAATACAGTTCTGCCTTTAGGTAATTACCTAGTATAGCATATTCACAAGTAAGCATGCCCTTATAATTAAATTGAATAAATAATGTGCTGAAAATTTTGTTAATAATTTAGATGTGAACAAGTAACAAATTAGAAGGAAAGTGACTATAATGTTGTTAATGCTTGATTTAAAAATACTGGAATGATTCTGCACACCATTTTTGGGTCTTCTGAGAAAAGTCCACATACCATAAATTTTAAGGGGGTTCATAGGCCATTTAAAGATTCCAGTTTAAGAACTTTTATGCTGGCAAGATTCTATCAGTAGTGTTTTCAGGAAAAGGCATATGCAGATGGTTAGTAGGAGACTTAACTTCATATAGTTAGGGTTCATTTTGTCTAGTGATTCGTGGGTTTAACTGACTACCCTGAGATGCTGCATGTGGAAGTTGCATGTCTGGTCATCAGAGCATCATTTCATTAGTTTTATTTACCATCTTTGGTCATAATGTATAAACTACATTGAATCACATCCGTATGAACATTTAGAAACGGAATTTCAAAACATGTACAATGTTAAGTGTGGCTCAGTACCCAGTAGTGCAAAAATTTAACTGAGTCATCTTATATAGGCAGATTTGATGCGTGGTTTTAAACTTAAAAAATTTTGTAGTCAGTAGCAAAGTTGAAAATGAGACTTTGAGATATGACTCAATTAAGGTCACTTTCTTTGAATTTTTGTTTTGTTCTTAGAATTAATACATTTTTTTAAACGTAAAAAAGTTCACACAAATGCTGGAGGGGGGAAGCCTGACACAACCCTAGTTAAATGACTTCTTGAATGTAAAACTTCTTAGAATCTTTCAAAAGAAAGAATACAAAATTCATATAAATAACTGATACAGTCTTTGCAAATTATATGATAACAGTATTTATGAATTGTTGATGGTTTCAAATTGAATACAAGTATAGCCAAAAGGAGTCACAGAAGTTGTTAAGCTTAGTCCTCTTACTTTGTAGGCCATAGGGAATTGAGACTGAGTAGGTTGTAACAGCAGAATTGGGCTTTGAGCAAATTTTCCTGGCATTTTGTATAGTAGAATTCACGGTGCCGCATTTAACATAGGTATTTGCTATTTCATTTGATGACATCCTTAACTAGCATAGTTGTATTGTCCAGAAAAAGCAAAAACACTGCTTTCTGAATTTTTAACTTGTATAAAAGATACTGATTTATTGGCTTAAAAATTGGAATTATTTTTCAGTGCGTATATGTAGTCATTCTTGGATATTAATTGGTGCCTGCGATCTGGAAGGAAAAAGGTCCTTTCCCAAGGAGCCTGTGTTTGAGTGGCCAAAGAGTGGATATTTTCTCATGGCTACTGGATATGAATTCTTTTGTTTAGGTTTTCTTTTGACCTTAGGGCTATTTGTAATTTTTTTTCCATTCAAAATGCAGCGCTGGTGGTACCATTAAAACAATTTTCCTCATGTTGTTACCCTCCCAAAGAAAATTAAGTAGAGTCTTTAGTAAGACTCTTTATTTCATAATTTTGTAGTATTGATATTTTTTCCTTGTAGGATTGGTGGTGATCCTCAGGAAATGGGGGAAGAGGCAGAGCAAGTGTTCAAAAGGATTAGCAGATTGTGGAAAAAGGAGGATTTGGACAGAAGGAACCTGTTGCATAAATTCTTAACTACTAAGCTTATAGGAAAACTTCAATATTTAAAATTTTATACAAAGCTATATAGGTAAATACCTTTTTAAAAACAAATGTCGTTGTATACTAAAATTGCACATAATTAAAAAAACATAAGGGTTACTATACTTCCTTTCTAAACGATGGCTACTAACTTTAAAGGAATATTTTTTGTTGCAGTCTGTTTTGTGATGATAATGTGTGATTGCTTGATTGAAAGGGAAGAAGAAAAGTATATTTGAAAGGAACTCAGTTATGATTAGATGAAATAGCATTTTCGCATAATTTTTTTCTTTTCAATGGTAAAAGTTTCATCTGATTTTAATTTAAAAATTAAAAGTCTGATGGCTTGAAGTTAGGGGTGGGAAAATGAGGGCAACATGCTACAAATAATTGCCACTTTGGCTTTTTTATTTTAGAAGTGGAGTAAGCTGCGTGGTCTTTTATGCTTATGCCTTTTTAGTGTAGTAGTAGTTTCCAGTTTATCCTTTGCAGATTTTTTTTTCTGTCAGAAGTAGTTTTGAATTTTAAAAAAAACTTAATCATACTCCATGAAAAATCAGGACAAATTTTGTTAATATGTGTATAATGCTCATTGAGTCATATTAGCGAGAAACATGCTGGATTTGCTGATAAGCCGTGTTTTTAAGGCAGTTTGTTGCTCTGGAGAGACTTTGGATTGAAGATTATATAGTATTGTTTATTTACCTCATTTATGTTTGTTGATACATTTTTCTTTTTTTGATAGAATTTTGTCAACCAAATTCACTGTTGTGTTTATTTTTAGGGTTAATCTTTGAAAAGAATAGCGTCAGAACATTACCTTTTTTCCTGTAATATCTATTTCTAATTGTTCTACTACTGTTTAGCTTTAAAGTATCTTCTGTGGCAAGAGTACGTACTTTATAGAATCATTTTCCGTTACCTCCTTTTGCCTGTCCTCTGTGATCTCTAATTTGAGATTGGCTGTACCTCTGCATTTCTTAAAAGAATCAAGTAGGTGCCAAAATAGCTGTCATGTTTAAATGAGCTATTTTTATATTAAAAATATTGACAGGTTCATAGGTGATGCAGTGTGAATTAATTTATGAATGTGTAGTGAAGACAGTGTGAAGACAGCTCCACAGAGTTGCATTTAATAGACAGTGCTGAAACTCAGTACCTTTATTTCACTCGTAGCTCTCTTCAAAGAATGTAAATTCTGAAACTCGATAGGCATGCTTATAAAATTTGTATAATTTTCTAGTATCAGGATCCGACTGCTTTTTCAAACAAATCACATGATTTGCTTTTAGAAGTCATTTGGTGAATGGATTAAAAATTTTGGTAAATATTTTACCAATTTAATTTCCTTTAAAAAGTCCCTCCTGTATTTAACTTTTCCAAAATTAAAATAATACAATATTTAATAATGTTGTACCGTGACATTCAAATTGGAACAGACATGTACCTGGTTATCTGAAGGGTTAGAGGGGCATTGATAGTTCAGAAAATTTCCAGGTGTATTTCCATACGGCCCTTTCTTAAAATAACTCTGCCATTTGGTCTAGTGTCCTTCCATTTTCCCAAAGAAAGGAATACTCACGTGCCCCAAATCTTATTACAGTGGATGCTTCAGGTTGTAGAACTTCTTGGGCACCAACAAAAGAGAACATTCTGAAATACAGAAGTCAGTGATATTGAGGGTGTGAATCAGAGCGGTGACTGGCAGTGAAGTCCTGCTCTATTCCAGTTCTTTGGTTTCAGCAAACTTGAAAGGATAAGCATGTTGTCAGTTAATAATAGCATTATTGTAATTTTTGAGGCTAGATTATTGTGACTTTTGACATGTAATGAGGTTGACAGGAGTAAAAAGAACTGCATGACTTCGGTGTAACAAGATTTTTTTCTTTGTCTCCACTCTTGTATTGTAAGCAGGGTTTCTTAGGTCATGTATCAGTAAAAATTAAAAAATAGGAAGGAAGAGAATTAGTCCCTATTTCATTCTGTCAGAAGAAAATACCCACTGATGCATGAGCTAAAAATCAGTCCACAAAAAGAAAGAAAATAAAGAGAACAGTCTTGTAAACTAGCATGGGCAATTATTTAATAAGTCAGTATTTTTCCTTTTTATTGTGAAAAAATTCAAACATATATACAGTTATCACAATAACCAGCCCCCATGTACCCATTTTAGCTTGAATTCTTGTAAACATTTATCTCTCCGTCATGAGGTAATGATGATAATAAGCTTTTTGTTTTGTTTTCAGTTTTGCTTTCTTGGATAGAGAGGATTTACTCTGTAATTTATTCTGCGTGTGTGTGTGTGTGTGTGTGTGTGTGTGTGTTGCTAAGAGTTTTGCAGAGAAGCTTTTTACAGTAACTTTCAAAACAAAATAACATCTTAATAATTACTACATTCCATATTTTCACACTGTACATGAAATCTTTCTAAGGAATGGAGGCAAATACATTTTATTGACTTAAGTGACATTTCCAGGGTAGATAATAACAGGCATTAATCTAATGCCTTTACATATAAATGGGAAGATTTGGGATGAGACATTCTCTCACTTACATAATTCAGTTTATTTTATTTCGCCATATTTATATAATCAGCTAGGACATTTTGAGCAGCTTACCCAAAATAGTGTATAATGATAGATAACTGGTAAATATCAATTATTTCTTAAAAACAACATAAGAGCATAATTTAAATGTTTTAATTTAGTAAAGCCACAAAGTAGACCAAATGTGCAACTGCAGTCTAGAGTTGAAATGGTTTTTATTCTAAACATGATAGTTCAATAAGAAAAATTTGTTTTATAGTGTATAGTCTAGGTCAGAGAATAAAAGTTCAACAGTATAACTTGTATATTTTACATTGACTAATTGTATAACCAGTACTTACTTATGTGACATCCAGTACGAATACTGACATCCTTTTCCAAAAGAGTTCTTTTTTTTTTTTTTTTTTTTTTTTTTTTTTT